TTTGATTACGTATATAGCATGTAACGTATGACACGTTCGAGCGATAAATGTCCGCATTATGAAAGAAAAAATGGGGATGCATGCATGAAAGAAAGATTTGCGGATAAACACTGAGAGAAACTGTTACATCCTATGTAATAATTTATATTTGTAGAATATATTTCTCAAAATTGATCTCGCATATGATGACAGAGTTATTGGATTATTATTTCATTATCTTGCTTCCTATGGGAACTCTGAATTATTTGTCACTCCTAAAGGATAATTCTTAATCCTTTACATTCGCACGCAACAGAACGAATCGATGAGAAAGTTTAGAAGTTAGCACGCGGCGAATCTCGCGCGAAGTCCGGTCGAAACCGGCGTAGTGCGAAAATAGTCGTGATCTCGTAGAAGGTAACGGATCGGTGAGACTTAGTAGGTCGCGGAGAGTTGCATCGATGCGAAAGACGATCCGAAACTCGCATTTAACGGCGAGATTTAGCTGCTTTGTGCCTCGGAGCTTGCTTACAGCTGACCCAGAAATCTCGAACAATGCAATTTCAGAGGTGTAAGGAAACGCGGATTAATAAAACAACTGGGTTAAACCGGCGGCAGTGTTGGCGGACTCGGAATCGAGAAGCTTCACGAGACCAGCATAATTTTCCTTCCTCTCTGTAACGCTTTTCCTCTCATTAAACTGCCTTCTTACTGTCAAACTTGTCATATTGTTTTCTTAAGTGATTTGAGAGAGCCGGAAGGAACAGTGAATTTAAGTTTGGCTATTTAACTTCTGAAGTATTCTTTACATTCTAACTACGTCCCGAAGCATACAATATTTGAATTAGTATTAGCATTATTCTGATTTACGTCTGAATTAAAATACGAGCGCCTTGCTGGAGGATTTTTTTTTTCTTAGTAGCCAATTAAAATGATTATAAGCTACTGTGTAACTTGAAAATTACGTATCCATCTGTCTGTATATGTCTAAAACGTTGTTTGCTACTTCAATTTATACATTAATTTATCACTTTTATTATTTTATCATCAAGCGATTCATTCATAAAAAACATAACTTTCTCTACTCTTATATTAAAGTGGAACACTGTAATCGAATACTAATATTTTCTTTTTCACGTACGCAAATGGAAGTTCAGTTAGTATTATGCAATTTATTAAACTCGAGACTCGCCTTTTACTTCTTCTATTAAAATGAAAACGTGTAATTTCGTACGCGGAGAAAAATCTAATTATAAAATGTTAAAGATCGTATGACCGATTAAACTCAAATTTAGATTCGTCACTTTTATCTTTTAGCATTGATCAATTATAAAAAAAAAAAAGCTCCGTTGCTGCACAGAATATATTTTTTGGAATGAGTTCGAGTTTCTTGTCCAGCAAACGTTATCTCCAGCAGTTTCTCACATTTTCCAACGAATGCAAAGTACGATTTAAATATGAATTGCAGCGTGCGCATCGGTTTTGTTTCGTCATCTATGGCACGCTGGTGTATGCATGACCCCACGAGGCGTGTTACAGAGAAAAGCGGGGACAAATGATGTGAAACGTATTCGGAAAAATTGCATCCTAAGTCGATCAATATTCATTCGCATCGGGGTCTCTCCCATTTCTCGTAACAGCCTGGGGAGCAAGATTTTCATTCAAGGAACGCGTTCCACTCTAACCCATCTTGCTGTGTGCATCTTTTCGAATAAATCGCATGCAGATGAGAAGTCGACAATAACCGTGACGTACAAAGAAACTCGTGTATTCACGATGTCGTTGTGCAGCATCGAAACGTGTCGTTGAAAATGCGAAAAAATTCGTCGGACATTGTTTCCTTTTTGTACTTCTTTTTTCAACTTACGATATATAGCTCGATTCTATGTCAACTTGACTTAATTTTACATATTCAGAGAATTTTTGTGAGAATAGATATTGGATATAAGTCAAGGGTCGTCGAGTTCGAACGATTGTTCGCTAGCGTCTATTACGTTATTTAATTTTGCGTGCGGATGAAATGAATTTTTACAGAGATGTGCTTCATTTATTTCGTAAAACTTACTTCGTAATTCTAACTCGGCGCAATCAAAATAGAATAAATCTTTATAGTTACTTTTTGATTCATGAAATAAATTGTGTAATCAGAGTTATCTTTATTTCTAGTATAGTCTGCATATATTAGGTTGTCTGAAAAGTGTCCTTCTTTTACAGACACGTCTTTTACAATGATGCATCTTTATACAAACATGAAACCTAATCCGTCGAACGTTGTGATCTTTATCTTAATAGAACAAAATGGATCATACGTTATTCGACAAAATAATATAAAACGAAATATGTTGTGCATCCATTATTTTCTTATAAAACGAAAGAATCTTTTCGGATGACCTAATATTATTGAATTCTGTAACAAAACAATAATCTATATGAAAATATTTCTTTACTTTGGATTTTACATCACGTATGCTATATGTTTATAAAATGAACAGCATAACAATGATCGTTAATATTATATAGTTGATAATATATATATTTAGAATAGGATGTCTAAATTTCTTGTCTTTCATAAATGTTTACAGCAGCAGCAATTCTATGAATATTTACATGAACGTCAAATAATTTCCATTACGTTTGACAAGTTGCTTTCCTCTAAGGGTAAATATCCAATGTCCAGTATGCACGGAGAAAATTGCCGTTATTTAACATTCATTGTTCATCCGATTTTCATTACCCACATGTTATATTACCAATAAATCTCCATACAACATCTATTCCTACTACAATGCTACATTCTATATTATCAAACTTTCTATATGCTCTCTACGTGGTTTATTAAAAAATATGTTTCTCAAAATTTCATTGCCTTTAGTTTATGTCTCGTAACCGACTCAATATTGGACAAATGCCTTGAAAAGGAAAAACAATATTTGAGTTCAAGCAGTTTATTTCCTATCTAATCCACCTTCTTTTTCGACAAATCATCAAACTAAATTATCATACTTCCCCTAAAAACAGCTCTAATCTATATCTCAACCGCTCCATTACCCATAGTCACCCCATCACACATCCTAACTTCCCTTCCACCTTCAAGACACTCAAAATTTCGGCCCCTACACCATCCTACGACCCTCGACGGAAACAACGAGTCGAATAACCAAGCTCCTCTGCTCCACCCCATCGGAAAAGTAGCGTCTTGAACGTAGTTACGCCAAATTCAAAGAAAAGTAGACATCAAATCGATCTATCGGCAATAACCTACGGCACCTTATCTCGCGTGTTCCACGCTAAAACGTTTCCCCTTGTTCGAGGTTTGAAAAAGAGATCGCAATATCTCTCTGGTTTCGGTCTCTCGGAATTCTTCGAGGCTCGGGGAATAAGGAAGAAACGTCTGTCTGTCTGTCGGACGGAAGATTTGCCTCTTCAGAATAGGACGCGGTGGAATTCGACGATTCGAGAAACGCGAAGCAGAGGAGGAGAAACGGTCGAATGTAAATCTCGCGGAACAACGCAGGATTCTCTGCTTTATCCCGATCGGGAGTACGGAGGATATCCGGTTTTCGTGGGTCGGCCGATGCTAGGGAACGGCGTAATAAAGTTTGATCGTTGTCTCGTTGCTTTATTGGAATTCGTTTCCACGGCTGGCCACTGTGTCGCCGCCACCGACGTCCGTATGAGCCGCCGCGTCGCGACGCACTTCCGGGGAATTTTTAATTTCGCCGTGGAATGGAATCCATCGACCAGGGCCTCCGCTTTTCCCTTAGGGCAACCTTCGACCAGACGACCTCGGATGGTTCGTCCAATGAACGTGGTTTTCAAGGCTTTCGATTTCTTCGTGTCTTTTCTAGCCAGGAAAGGCGGTCCAGTTCGGTTTGGCAGAATGGAGTGGATAAAAATACTGTGTCGGAATTTCTGGTAATTTGAAATGAAATTAAGAATGGTCATGAATGATTCAGTCGAAGGTTATATATTACGATAATTATTATTTAGAAATATGATGTTTGGTGATCATTATGATTATCAGTTACGTGGATAAAATAAAAGAAATAGAATTTATTATTTATTTCTTTTTCTGCATATGTATACATTAACTATATCGCAAGTATATTTATAAGTAGGCACATTTATCACGTGTATAAATCGAAAATTAGCAACGAGACAAAATGAAAAAGGGATTTCTGTGATTTTTCTTTTAGACAAAAATCGCCGGAGAATTTACTCCTAAAGGAGGGCTGTATTAAGGCAAATTTCCTTCAGAATATGCAATAGGGAGTGGACAGTGCGGAAGCAATCGAGAATTCTATGAATAATAATGCTCCTAGTTGTTTAGTGAAGAACGAAGTAAGTCTCCATTTTATGCGATGACGATTAAGAAAAAAAAAAAAGAAAAAAGAAAAAATAGAAAGGAAGAAAGACAAAAATTAAAAGGCAGAAAAGACCCAAGTTTCCATGAACGATATCCATTTCTTGTCTGAAGTATGCATACTGCTTGCAAACGGTATCCAATTAAGCTTCGTGTTTCTTTTTCTGGCAACGTAATTGTTGCAAGTGCTCGAGAAAAATTAACAACTCCCAACGATCCTTACTTTTACAGTACATGTAACGATTACACCGGGTGTATGGCGTAAAATAAGATTTTATTTGAAGAAAGTATCAGTTTCAAAGATATCGATCGTCTTATATTTTATAAGAATTTATTGTAAGATATTCTTAAAATTCTTATAAAACTTTCCGCTTTTATTTAAGAAATGAATTATATATACTGAAAAAACTTAACGACACTAAACATTTTATTTACTTACGCACGAATTCGAAATACATTATTCTTTTTTAACTACGATAGTTCATTTTATCATAATTATTTCAATGTGGTGAAATGTCGTGATAGGTGCGGAAGGAATACTCAGATGTATTCAGCAATAAATATTTATTAACAGTAATATTCGATGAGTACAATTGGCGCAAGACTCGCGGTTATTAAATTCGGTTCGCGGTTACAAGTTCAAGCTCGGGTTGATATGAGCTACGAGCGCGGACGATGATTGCGCGAGATGTCGAAGGCTTAGATTGATAATTGACTCGGACCATGCAATTGTAACGACCGTTGCGTATCGACTCTGTGTAATAGACTGACTTTCCGTCACGATGATGCTGCGAAGGAAAACTGTGATGGGGTGTGTCTAAGGATGCGAGATCATCGGATTCGTTGAGAAAAGCTTTGGTTCGGAAAGTGAGGGAAATGTACGTCAATGTTTATTGGCTAATTCGTGTTGGTCGTTGGAAAAGGATGCTAGCTGCCCTTGAGACGAAGTTGCTAGCGGGAAGCGTCGTACGTGAGAGAAAGCAGATTTCTCGTGTGTTCCCGTAGTAGGTGGTAGACTTAGAGACTGATAAACAAAGACTGTTTGTCTCTTTGGAAGACCTTAGCTAAAATAAATCCTAAGATTTATAGCGGGTCCTTAGGCTAGCTGAAAATATTCGGTACGAATGTATCGATATCTGGCAATCATCTCGTCCGCAGGAATAGGGTCTTTGTGTCGTGCGTCACGGGTCAGAAACTGTTGAAAAGTTTACTGTCCAGTGCCGCCACAGTACCCCCTTACCAATGATAACGTTTTTTTGTATATTTTTGTGATCGATAGATCTTACGTGCTACTTATTTAAGACCTGCCTGAAAATAATCAGGAAAACGAACTCTCCTGCCCGAGCGCGTGGTATACCGACTTCTTGAGTAACCTTCGCGTTGCTGTGCCCGCTCGGCGTTTTGCGTAGTTGAGGTTTTAAACGGTATAAACATGTCGTGGGTTCTTGCGCTAGTTTCTAATTGTTGTTGTTCAATGTCGTCGGATACAGTAAAAGCGGGTTTCAACCGATCTAGGGAGACTATTACATTTTTATTATTTATTTTAATGGTAAGGTCCGTATAACCTGGTAAGGTCCGTCGTAGGGTGGTTGTAAAGGGCCTCCGCTCGCGTCATGGCGTATAAATACGTATGGTGATGTTTCGAGCTCGCGGAACACGAAGGTTTTCTTCTCGCCGTGTCGCGTAATCGGGTGAGGACTGATTTTCTCTATTCGCTCCTTTAAACGGTTCGCGAATTCCGAGTTGGCCTGTTGCTTCGTTGGTACGAAGAATTCTGTCGGCAATCGTATGCCAGTACCGTAAACCATTTCGACTACCGTTGCGTTCAGGTCCTCCTTGATAGCGGTTCTTATGCCTAATAAAGCAATTGGTAGGACTTCTACCCAGTTGCTCGTATTGTGACATTTTATTGCTGCTTTTAATTGTCGATGTAGGCGCTCTACCATTCCGTTGGACGCAGGGTGATAGGCTGTTGTGTGTAAATGCTTAATGCCGAGCAACCGGCATAGTTCATTGAATAGGTTTGATTCGGACTGGCGTCTTTGATCAGTCGTTATTTTTGAAGGTACGCCGAAACGAGCTATCCATGTAGAGAAGAGGGCCGAGGCAACGGTTGTTGCTACATTGTGAAGTTTCTGCCTTCTAAGGCGTGTCGAAAATGTTTGACTGCGGTGCATATTGCGAGTAGTTGGCAATCGTACGCGCTATATTTTTGCTGAGCGGGGGTCAAAGATTCCGTTGCGAACCCTAGCGGTTGCAATTCGTTATTCGCGCGTTGTTGTAATACTGCCCCCATTGCGTAGTCGGACGCGTCTACCGTGAGGCTGATCGGCGCACCTGGTATCCGATGCGCCAGCATCGTGGCGTCCGCGAGAGCACGTTGCGATTCGCGAAAGCTGTTTTCCGACTGTTCCAACCATTCGATGGGCGCGTTGTCCTTTTTCGCGCCTTTTAACAGGTCGTTGAGTGGCTTAAGTGTTTTTGCGGCCCCCGGTATGAAACGTCGGTAGAAGTTTATCATACCGAGGTACCTACGTAGTTGCTTGGCGTTCGCGGGCTTCGACAATTTTACAATCGCTTCGACATGTTCGGGCGGCGGCTTAATTCCGTCGGGGTTTACCGAGTATCCGAGGAATGTGATTTCGTGCAAGCCGAATTCGGGGTTCGCCAAATTCGCATTTCGTGGGGTTTATCACAACGCCGTAATTATTGAGACGGTTGAGCAAGATTTTCAGATGTTCGCGATGTTGGTTTTCGTCGTCCGAGGCTATGAGAAAATCATCGATGTACGCATAGACGATATCGAGCCCATGTGTGATTTCGTCGACGAACCGCTGACATGTTTGTGTGGCGTTCCGAAGTCCAAACATCATATTTGTTGCTTCGAGAAGTCCGATAGGCGTTGTTATCGCGGTTTTTTCAATGTCCTCGGACGCAATCGGAATTTGGTGGTAAGCGCGGACTAGATCGATTTTTGAAAAGATTCGCTTACCATGCAGATGTTGCGCGAAGTCTTCGATATGTGGCGGTGAGTACCTGTCGGGTACGGTGCGGGCGTTCAACGCACGGTAGTCGCCACATGGTCGCAGGTTTCCGTCCTTTTTCGGCACTACGTGCAGGGGTGATGCCCACGGGCTTTTCGATGGTCGCATTACGCCTTGCTCAATCATATGTTCAAATTCCGCCTTTACCTGCTTAAGTCGATCAGGTGCGAGACGGCGTGGTTTGTTGTAGACTGATGGACCGGGTGTGGTTTTGATGTGGTGTACCACACCGTGTCGAATCCTCTCTCTTCCGAAAATCGGTGGGCGGATGAGGTCCGGGAATTCTGCCAAGAGTTGGTGGTATGGTTATTCGCCGATGATGGTCTTAACGGACACTTCGTCTGTCGTGGCGGTGTATCCCCTTGATGACATTTGGGTTGTCGTGTCGATGAGCCTTTTGTTTCGCGGGTCCACGAGCAACCCGTAGTGACTTAAACAATCCATGCCGATGATGGGCGTTTTGACGTGGGCTACTGTAAAGTCCCACTTGAATGCTTTGCGCAGGGACAGGTTTAGGTTGATCGCGATGGTGCCGTATGTTGTGATTCGTGTGCCGTTGGCCGCGAACAGCTCGTACTCGCTTCTGTTCACGTGTCCGTGTAGCTTGTTGCGCGGGTATACGCAGACATCGGCGTCGGTGTCGATGAGGTAGGAGATCCGCGAGTTCTTGTCTGTTACGAATATGCGGCGAAACGCCAAACCGTCGTCGTTTGCCGCTTTTACGGACGGCTGGTCCCGTTTCCCGAATTCCACGAGCAAGGGAGTGTGCACTTTCTCGCGCTTTCTCGGAACTGTGCGTGATAGTAACACAGCCCGTCTTGCCGCGGCGGATCGCGAGGACGCGAACGGCGGCGGAATTGTGTACGCGAGCGTGATTGTGATCTTGCCCGACGGTGTTCATTGCTTCTTAGCTCGGCTACTTGCGATCGCATCTCGCTCATTTGGGCGTCCATTCGCGCTAACCGCTCGGTGACCATGTTGACGACGGCTGCCATGGCGTCGCCTATTCCGCTGTTCTGGCCAGGTAGGAGGGTTATCGTAGGAAGTCGGCCTACGCTGGCCGCGGCGATCTGCCCTGATTCCGGGGTGGCTTCGTAAATGTTATCGGCAATTTGTATGCGGGATTCCGGATCGTTGTTCTGTACAGATTCGTCTATGCCCTGTAGGGAGGCTAGGATGCTCCGTATGCGCGGTGGAAGTCGACCTTCCCAGACGATGAGGATGACATCGTCTGCTAACGAGTTGGTGGCTAGGTTTCTTAGGTGCCGATAGAATTGGGATGGCGTTCTATCACCCATTTGTTCCTTCTCGATTACTTGTTGGAGTCTCTTGGCGTCCAACTCTCCCAATCTTTTGATGAGCTCCTTTTTGACGAACTCGTAACGTCCGGTCGCCGGTGGGGCTTTCAATACGTCTCGGATTAATCTCACGTGCGACTTGTCGAGATGTGCAACAGCGACGAGGTATTTTTCCTTATCGCCCGTGATCCGGGCAGCTTCAAATTGCACTTCCAGCACCGCGAACCACAAGTCAACATCGTCAGGCCAGAACGGTGGCACGCGGAGGAATGCATTTATCGAGTTTACGTTGTTCCTGCCGATCGTCGTACGTTCGGAATTGGCGGTATTAGTCATTTCGGACTGTCTCAAATTCGCGGTGTTTAACGTCTCACGAGCACTATCACGGTCACCTCTTTCACTGAAAATCACGTCGGGGCCACCAATTTGAGGTGGGATGTCGTGATAGGTGCGGAAGGAAAACTCAGATTTACTCAACGATAAATGTTTATTCACTGTAATGTCAATGAGTACACTTGGCACAGGACTCGCGATTATATTCGGTTCGCGAATGCGCGGTTGTAAGTTAGAGCTTGGATAGCTATGATTCGAGATGCGCTACGAGTGCGGACAATGATTGCATGAGATGTCGAGAGCTTAGGTAATTATTCGACTCGAACCGTGTAAGTATAACGATCGTGGTATGTTGACTCGCTGTAATAGACTGACTTTTTTGTCGCGATGCTATTGCGGAGGAAGACTGCATTGGGATGTGTCTAAGGATGCGAAGGCATCGGATTCGTTGAGAAAAGCTTTGGTTCGGAAAGTGAGGGAAATGTACGTTAATGTTTATTGGCTAATTCGTGTTGGTCGTTGGAAAAGGATGCTAGCTGCCCTTGAGAGGGTGTTGCTAGCGGGAAGCATCGTATGTGAGAGATAGCAGATTTCTCGTGTGTCCCCGTGGTAGGTGGTCAACTTCGAGACTGATAAACAAAGACTGTTTGTCTCTTTGGAGGACCTTAGCTAAAATAAATCCTACGATTTATAGCGGGTTCTTAGACTAGCTGAAAATATTCCGTAGGAATGTATCGACATCTGGCAATCATCTTGTCCGTTGGAATAGGGTCTTTGTGTCGTGCGCCACGGGACAAAAACTGTTGGAAAGTTTACTGTCGAGTGCCGCCACACCAACGATTTCAAAAGTTGATGAACATTGTTTCGATAGTTTAAATGTTTCTAATCAATTATACATATATTAAAACAGTATCCCTTATTTCAATAAAAAATCGTATTTACTTAACATTATCGGGGAATTCTTACTTAGCTCTCATAACGTGAATCAAATGTACTATAAAAAATGTATGTGCCGTAGATGAAAGAACATCGGGATTTCTCGTCTGGAATGTTGAGAAAAACCCCAATACCCTAGTCCAGACTTTTACTATAGCTAAGTAAACTTAAGTAACTATTTATAGTCTATAGTTAACTTAAGTAATAAAAATAAGAAATAGTTTTAATGTTCCAATCTGGCTTTATGACGATGGGTTCGGGCTCGAAGTGACATAGCGGGTCACTGGACGTGGCCACGGTCACGGGAGGAACGTGTACCTGACACAGGTATGGAGTGATTATATGGCTCTCCTTAAAAACAAAGATTGACCCGAGAAGTAGGGTCAGGAATATATAAGGGCAGTTTCATTTGGATTACGAGTTAGTTAGTTAGTTAGTTAGTCGTTGGGCGAATTGCTGATTGAGCTATCGAGAAAGTTATCCGAATCGTGTACTACGTTGGCACTCGTCATCCCGTGGATCGTGGATTCGTTATCGAACCTGAATTCGTTGTCACCATCATCTCGACCATCTTATCGCCGCTATTACTCATAGTCTCTTGTAGTGTCCACATTTGTACCAATAAACATTAGCTACATCCGCGATGGTAAAGCAAGTAAAGGTTCATCGCATGCCCCCCCCCCCCCCCCC